GATTGATAGCCTCTGTTACACACTCGAGCAACAATCCTCTGCCTTTTATCGTGCATTGTCCAAGTTCTAGTGAAATGTTGTGTCACCTGATCGAAAGGCCTCACTCTCAGTTGGTTTGGAGTATGCATTGTGCAATAACTACTGCCACAAAGTGGTTGAAGGCAACCAGACATCACATCGCCTCCCACTCCTAGGGCCTTATCCGAAGCGGTTAAGTCAAGTAAAAGCCCCCAAAGCCACGTGTTAATAGCGTGTTCGAGAGTGAAGCAGCGTGCTGCGGGCAGAGTTGTGCCAATGTGAAGTCATTGCCCCCATTCGGGCGCAGAGCAGGTCCTATCAACAAAAAGTGAACCCCCAAAATAAGCAAACATAAGATTAAAGGGGTGTTGTGGGGCATCTATTAAATGGGAAGCAAAAAATGAAAGAAAATCACACGTGTACAAGCTAGTTTAGGCAAAATAAAGTAGCCCCAACTCAGGAGTGAGAGAGAGGGAGAGTGTGAACAGAAAGAGGCGGCACAATCAGGCAACACAATTTTGGGCACAAAATTGAACGTGCTGATCAGCGACTTAGGTGGAAATTTTAATATCTGTCGGACTAGGCATACGTTTTTGCTTGCTTGAGTAGCCTAAAAGGGGCAAAACAGAAGGTAATGGTGAGATGTGTAGTCGAATTTGCAGTAAAAGGCAAAGGGTTATGCGTTAAGTTGGTGGAGGAGTTGTTTCGTTTAGTCTAACACTAACGCTTTCGATGATGATGTTTGGAGTCTGCGAGAAGAAACACGTCAAATGTCTGGACCTAGTGGAGATAGCAGTGCGTGTTTCATGCCGTAGTCTTACCACTCGAGGATGAAGAAGATGAGGATGATGACGAAGATGATGAACGTGAACGGGATGAGGAAGAAGACGAGGAGGAAGATGATGACGATGATGACCTTGAATGGTGCTTTTTAGTGACACCTAATAAAAGTGGAATAATCTTGACTTATTTTGAAAAGTTTAAGGCCCTCCAACAGACAACAATAACAAAGGCAATTAAATTGCTCGATTTACGGAGGTCTGATTTGTTTTTGCTAAAGTCACATGCCACAATTTGCTTTGAAATTGCCTAACACTGTTGGTAAGTTTTAAATAAAGCCACACAACAGTTTTCTACACTTGCAAACAATGTTTGTACTAGCAATTTTTTGTAATCAACAAAACAAAGAAAAAATGGTCCTCGCGGAGATGCGTGTTTACAAAAAAAAATGAGATAATTTATGCTCTTTAAATGAAGCCCAAATCGAACTCTCAATCGAGACGTCAGTAAAAGGATTGTATGGTTTTTTCTCTGCCTAACCAGCTCAGGCTACAGTAACTTCTAGCCCAAACTTAAAGCGCTTACGTTTCTTGGACTTTTTCCTGGAGTCTGCTAGGAAGAAAACGATAAAAACAATTAATTCGGCTCCTCTGACATTTGGATAGGAAAGAAGTAAAACTATAGCTGACTCCTACACGAGCTGTTACTGATTTTTTAGTTACAAGAGCCGAAAGATGATTTTGCAATTAACTTTACCTTTGCACTTCCTTGAACACGAGCCCGACCTAGAATTGGATCTTGAAGAGCTTGAAGATCTGGATCTGGAGCAAGATGAGTCTGAAGCATCTGATCGAGCCCTTCTTGAACAGCTGCTAGACGATCCAGATGAGTCTGTAGTGAGAGAGGAAGGCACATCCTCTATTATGACGTGTTAAATGTTATGAACAGATTTGTATTGCTCAAATGTTGTATAGCAAATCCTTCCTCTGTTTTGAAAGTAACGTGCAGAACGATAAGAAAACTCTAGGGCTTTGCGTTTGCTATAAACCAAGTTACTTGCCTACAGTCTATTTTGAAACCACATTGGTGACTGAATCGGTGGAGAAGACAACTTACCACGGTAACTTGATGAACCATCCAAACCTGAGGTTGAGGGCAAAGGAAAGACTCAGTCAGTTGTGGCCACACACAATATCACCATAAAGTGTTCGTTTTGTATGAAACAAAGTCACATCTTACATCTTATGGTTGTCAGTCTTCCTAAAATTAGTAAAAAGTGAAAAATGTTATTATTACTGTCAGTAAAACCAAGTTATCTAGTGTGTGCAATTTTACAATTGATACGGTGTGACACAAAGACTTACTCTCGATTACGTGCTCAACCACTGCAAAGAAAAAAGAAAAAAAAAGGGTATAACTGATATAGTTAAAGGCATTTTGGAAGTTGAAAGGGGCTAACTTAAGTTACGGGACTGCATAAAATTTTCCCTATATTTTTTACAGTGATTTAGTTTTTACCTTTGTGAACAGGGAACAGTTATTTCCGCCACTAAGAGGAGTTAGATTGAAAGCGAGAGTTAAGGTTTAGCTTGCCTTTTTTCTTGCCTCTGGACTCGTGTTTACCACTGGAACACCTTTTACTACAACCCTTTCCACTTGATCCTTTTCGACACCCGTGTGACTTGGATTTGCAACGACTTGTGCTGTCAGACGAGGATGACGACAGACTCCTGAGTCGTGTTTTAGTTCTGCTGATGTCTACAAAGTAATTGCAGAAGGTTGTAGTTATATGGAGCCAAACTTGGGCGCTGTGATCATCGAAGGGATAAATTAATTGAACGGGCCCATACACTTTAAAAATGGTTTGATTCGTCTCAGAAACTTACCGCTCAGTGTTTGCATGGGAATCGGACGTTTAGGAATGTCGGTCGAATAATAGTCGCCTGAAATCGGAAAAAGGGAAGAGAAAACTCGCTGGTTTGGGACAACGAAACATTCAATGAATGTCAATCACTATATCCCTTCTCTCTTTGTTAAAATTTATTTCATGCCAAAGGTAACGTTTAAATAGGACCAAGTGGTAGCTCAAATGTCAATGGGATAATAATGTTAGAGGATCCAACTGACGCATGATGGGGTCGGACTCCGCTGTGTCAATTAACGTAGATTAAGTAGTTTATATATGGGATCCAATGTCATAAGTCTATTAGGGCTTACAATCAAATTGGTATTTTGTGTGCTCCATTTCAAGCCAAGATGGCGAACTTGTTGCTGAATTTGATGCGCAAGCGTGGAGGCTGAGATAACTGAGGACTCGAGCAGAGCGTAAGATCTCTCAGTAATTGACAGTGTGATTTCACAGGGCTTTTAAATCAATTACTCTGCGCGCGATGATGTTGGAGATGGTTAAGAATCTGCATCCACCATATGCAACGCCTCCACCACACAACTGAAGCCGCACACAATGTGGCAAAATAATCCCCTCAAGTTTCACGCATAAATCTAATTCGAACTATCATTAATAAGAAATATTCATGTACTGATAATGCGTCAATTTGGCAGATTAAAAAATTGCTTTACGTGTGAGAAAATAATTTGGTTTCCAGCCATTCGTCCTTAATAAGTGATAAAGAGACTAAATAGAAATGTAAATTGCACTCACCTTGTGCATGGGTGCGAATTTTGCACCGGGGAAAATAACACATTTGCTGCCATGTGCAATTAATAAATAAAAATAAAACTCATTGTAGTGCGTAGCAAGACATCAATCAAGATAATTCAGACGTTTGTTAGTATAACTCATTTTATTTAAGGTCAATTCCCATGTTATTCCCGACTTTTTGAAATCCTTATTTTAACTTAAGTGGAATTTTTTAAAATAGTCGAACTCGCTTAATGTCAAAAGTAAAATAATTCAACGTAGTAAGCATGTAAAATTATATCTGAACAACTTTTGATGGGATTTTATGGCAATTAAATCTTTCGGATGTTGAGTGGAAAACTGTGGGCAGAGGGAATTCGTCACAGTCATAAGCACTACAACAAACTAGCGCTCACGGTATTTGTTAGCTCTTTTGTTGTACTCATCGGAGCGCTTCATCAATACCTCCTATGACTGTTGTCCATTGTTGAACTTAGAAGTCAGAATACATATGAATTAATCCACACAAATCTATTTCCCTGATCATATGATAAGTTTTGCTATGGTAGGTGATTGCTGCACATAATGTTATGGTCTTTTCCACGCCAAACTTTTTACCTCATCACCTACATTTTAGGGTCTCTTGCAGTGTATTCGCCTTGTCTTTTGGAGAAAAAACAAATTTCTAATTACGAGTTGAAAAATTGCCTTCTTCTTGTAAAGTGCAATGGTGCCTTCGTTGCCTAGTGAATTCATTTTTGAGCTTTGCCTTGCGATAGTTGCAATGGTGAGAGTGGTCAATCAAACGTAAAAATGACTGTTTATTCCCTCTTAGCAAATAATGTGATCGTTATTTTTTAAATTTAACTGGTTTGTGTACAGTATCGTGTCCAAAATGTTGATACAGGCTTGCATTATTTGCGTTTTATAAACCTTAAAGCTTCACCTTAAATAACATAGCTTGTGACTTTTAGATTTTGACATACGGTTTTCATGAAGCGAATACATATGCTTCAAGTAATCCTTATGCTAAAGTTTTATGCTTAAGCTGTCATTTGTGGGGCTCAGCTTTGCCAAATCCGTTTGGGTTAGGAGCCAAGATCGTAATTTCTCACCATTAATCGGATGAGCCGTGTTGCGTACCTACATCCAGTATCCGCCTAAACCTACTTTATTCACCGACTCTGCCTGGTAAACTACTGTCTGGAAACAAAGTTGACGAAAGGAATAACATAATTAGATAATACTTTTAAGTTAAGTGGCTAATTTAAACCAGACTTTGAACTTGAGGGCGAGAAGCAATGGGCGTCAAATTGTGTGTTAATGTTTTAATAAAATTCAGCCTATTGGTTATTTGAGTAGTATTTTAGGCTGTCCTTATGCTCCGCGGCACCTTTATATACTCTTCTTCATTAAACGTTCGCTCAGCAGGATAAATATCGCATTCCAGAACAAAGTATACTTGAAAATGAAGGTTATGACTATTATGCAATGTCTTGGTTTACAAACTCTGGGATTGCCATCTACACTCATCCTTAGATGTGTTTTATATTGTGAGCGGTTAATGAAGGAGGGGTTAGTTTTACTGGACGTAAAAAGTGCTACAAAACGTAGTAACATTTATTTATGCAGGGATAGCCATGCAGAAAGTACGTTGCTTAAAGTAAGGCAATGTTGTTACGAGGGTCAAAAGGGCACAAATGACTCCACGGGAGACTAGCAGCGATCTCGACATATCTGAAATAAATTGCATCATAAGTCAGTTTTAAAAGTCGTTTCGTACCAGCACGATACCAAACTATGGACAAATGCATCGGGCAAAGGGACTGCATAATTTGCTAGGTTGTGCAAGATCTGTAGTGCTTTCAACAGCCTCGCTTACCGGAATTGTGTAGCATTTCGAGTAGGTATGCAACTCGCCGTCACCTACAATGGGAAAGAGAACGCAATTTATGAAGTCCCGCTGAGTCTGCGTGGGGGCACAGAGCGTTCTTCTCGTAGCTTAACACTTTCAAGGCACTAAGCTATGGCTACAGGCTTCCTCAAAAACACTACTCAAAAGTAATTTAACGACCTCATCAATAGGAAGAACTTACAGTCTTCTGTTGCAACAGTTGTGCAGAAACGGACGTTCTTCATCGCGTCAGAATGCCTGCTTTCTGCAGTAAACAAGCAATCAGGCTATACAAATTCCAACTCCAAGGAATAACTGTCTGGATGGCTATGCTGACAGTGGGAAAGCTTTTATAATTGAGTAGATTAAAAATTTAAAAGGCTATTTAAAACCGATGAGAGCAATCCCAAGTGAACTTTCCTTTGCAAGCCAATTTACAGTAGGGATATTGAAACTCCAAAGGAGGTGTCATTTTGCCAACTTACTGCAACGAGAATGATGGTGGCAACTGCGACGGCGCCTAGACGAGGATCGATGCTTTCTGCAGGAGCTTTTCTCCCTACTCCTGCATCGTCTCTCCGATTTGCAGGGCTTCCGTTCGCATGACCTATGCTTCGGCTTGTCCTCCAACACCGTAATGATCTTTTTGCAGCACTGCTTTTCTGTTACCACCACATTTGGCTTCTTGCAGTCTGCAATGCAAGTTGAGGTAGATTACTTTCTACCAACGCATTGAGCAAATGTTTTGTTAAGCTTAGTGATGGGTTTGGTGAGGAGCATCTTGTACTCAGTGCTTCGATCCACTCCCATGAATTAAGGTAAAAGGCGAGGCGGTATTAAAGACAGGAAATGAGGAGTAATACTTAAAAGTTAAAGTGCTTTACTGATAGCTTTGATGAGCACCACCAAAGTGGTGGATCAACTTACACTTGGCGGCTGTACGTAAGACATCTAAACACAAACACAGAAAGGCATTGGGAATTAACACCGGCATTTTGAGTAGTCAGATTTCAGGCATTCGATTACTTTGTCCTGGGCCAGACGGAGGATGAAATCTCCGCTGCCTTGGTCTTCTCTTATCAAAGGTGAGGCAAAAGAGTCGCTTATTGCACGGTCTCACAATGCTAAAAGAGTGAGATGTCACCCATCAGCTGCATGTTAAAGTGGAAATACATTCAGCATTCATTCATTCATTAATAAGTCCCCCCAAGCCCATCAATTAGCATGATTGTAAATCTTTTCCACCACTTCTACGTTTTGCCATTTAACAACAACTCCTTTTTTTTTATGCTTCTGCCTGCCTACGCAGTGCACTGCAACGTTCACTTGGCGTGACCACCTTTGAAGCACGTCGACATCATTAAATGTGTCTTTGTGGAAAAGAAGGCAATATGTTTACG